ATCTGAAACTTTCTTTGAATGGTACTGAACTTGAATTTGTCGACAAATGGAAAAACTTAAGAGTCTTTCTTGATAGTAACCTGCTTTTTGATTCTCACTTGTCTTATTTACTGCAGAAGTCCTACGGGAAACTGAAAGTATTTTACATGTATAAAGATTAGACTTAAATTGTGCGACTCCCTTATACTCTCTCTATTGGGAAATGCGGACGTTGTATACTGCCCGGCTCTAAGATACAGCTATGGTTTGTGTAAAGTTGATCATATGACGCCGGCACTCAAGGGTTCTCAGTGGTTGAAATCTGTCTGAAAGGTATTTTGTGCATAAAATTACCAGCTAGTGGTATGCATAATAGGGCGACTCGTCACCGCAATCCGTTCTATGTTCCCCAGCATAGAACGGGTGCGTTTCATAGCTCTTTCACATATTAACTTACAATTCACTTGTTTTTTTTTGTTTATTGTTTTTCTTTTAGTCGTTTTTGAATTTTACCCTTGCTTTTTTCTAGTGTCCATTTTTATTTATCCCCCTTTGATTTATTTAAAATTGTCAAATTGTGAATTTTCGGTGGACTTATTTATATTTGTTAGTTTTTTTTTCTTGTTAAATTCTGAATCTTTTACTACATTGTATCGGTGGTTAGGTGGAGTAGCGCTGCTACACCTCTCCACCTGTTCAACTCTATTGTGGATTCTTTTTGTTGTATTTTGATAAAGGCTATTTATTATTATTATTATTATTATAGCACCCTTTCTTATTGCACCTATAATTGGTGTTATTTTGTTTATCACATATGCGATGTAGTAAGTTCATGTTAATTTGCCACGAATTGCTAAACCTCTTTCAGACTGTTTAGTACGTTTTCATTTAACTTTCAGTTAAAATATTTTTCGAGATCATTGTTGACCATTCCGTCAATTCCCTCCACACTTGTTGCAGAATAAATTAACTCAGTGTCATCACAGAAACGTACGAAAATCCCGAAAGATATTATTTATTTATGGAAGATGGTTGTTTCACACTTGCCTTGCAAAGTTCTTTAATCTATCGTTGGACAGTTTAATGTTGGAAAAGCATCCGACTTTTACGTTCAACCATATAAAAGCCGAATAACGGCATATTTGCATCGGTATCGAATCCAACGCGTCGCGTCCTAGTCCGGTATATCAAGTCTGGGAAACGCTTCGCAGCAAAGTATTACGAATTCCTGCCGGTACGTAGATGGCCTCGGGACGAGCTCGATGCAGTTGTCGCTGGCGGAAATATTTCACTATAGGATTTACTACAGCGGCAGAATTACCAGGCGTAAAGTTACTGCTAAAACTGCATCTGTACACATAACACACAGGCAGTTGTATTATTTCATAGTCCACGTTTTACGTCAGAACTAGAATCAGAATGTCAGAATAAGAATGCTCATCCTTAGTTGAACAAAAGGAAATTAAGGAAAACTCTAAAAAAAAAATGTTTAAAACAATGGAATACAATGGGATAAAAGAGAAAACTGTTGGCACGGCAGCCAAACAATGTTCAGAAATATGAGGACGATATATTAGAAGACGCTCTGTATAAATGTCCTAACCCCTCGTTTTCACTTACACATGAGTCGTCAAATTTTTAAGAGTTTTTTAATTAAATCTGAGAAACTTTTTTGTCTTCTCAGTCTTTCCAGAGTTACGAAGGAAATGGTTTGGGGTGAATCACTCCGCATAAATCCCTGCTACATGTCACGCGTTTTAACGTAAACTTTTAAGCCGGATCGATTTAAAACTCGAACTATTTTTCTCTTCTTGTGTAGCGTTTTCCGTGACTGGTGTAGAGCCGTTTATCTGATAATACTCTAAGTAGCCGCCAGACGGCGCCCGCTTCGGTCGCTTATTTAAACAACCGTGACAAATCACTCCGGCGTTTATCGTCCTTTTTTTCTCTCGTTATTTCCGAATGATCGAAAGACGTCCTTAACATGTTAATCAGTTCTACTACGAGAATTTTGCGAACAATGGCGTTGGAAAGATCAAGGTTCCAAAAGCATTGGTTTCTGTTCCTATCTGATCGTTTCTGGTATACCATAAAAATCGATTTTATTTAAATGCTTTGCATATTTTATTCGAAGTTTTCGTTAGTCGCCATTGTTTTGTTAGGAACAGGCCGATTTTTCCAATTTTAGTATCATCGACAAAGTATTAAATTTTTATAAGAAATATTTTTAACCATTTTTTTAAGTTTATTTATTAACCCGAAGTTAGTGGTATCCGACCACTTTCTACATAAATTTAATTTTTTTTCTCCATTGAATGACTTTGGAATATTTAACAAAAATAAACATAATAAACAAAACTTTGATAATAAGCCAGCGTTCCTCTTCATTAATGGCCTTCACCATTGAATATTTACTACATAATAATGATAATTTCACATTTTATGACATTTCTAATTTGTATGATAATAAAACACATTAGCACATGTTTGCTATCTTCTTTCTTATGCATCACTTTTCAACAAAGATGCCAGTATAAGATAATTTTCATGTAAATTACGATTTTCTGCCTTAATATTAGATCGGTAAACGTCACTTCGGGACAATTAAAAATAATTAACAGCAATGTTGAACATGGATTTTTAAAAAACGCTTAAAGTTGAGTGAGATAGGAAATCGGTCCCAGTTGTACCTACGTGCTTTGCTTGAAACAAAATCCTGGCCGGAAATAAAACGCTGGCCAAAACGAATTTAATGAAATTCCATTCTTTGTTGCCGCCGTCAATGCCTCTGCCAGAGTGGCTCTTAAACGAATAAAATTTAATCCAAATATTTACGTTTGCCGTGTAAACTGAGCAACAGGAATATGATTATGTTGGCTGACAGATCAAATATTTACCCTCCGTTTGTTTGAATTCGGCATCGGAGCGAAAACTTTCTTTGAACACACAGACACAAACAACGAATTATTGCCTGGGACAAAACACGTTCGATACTCACCAAAAAATTTGATAGTTGATACAGGTTGATGTGTTGATAGGTTTGTGCTAAATGAAGTTTGCGGTATTGGAGGGAGGGAGAGAGAGAGAGTTGAAAGGCACAGCATTTGTTATACTATAATTAGCTGCATATTCTTTTGATATTACTTCAGCATTTTCTAGCAATAAATTAACCCGCAAGAGGAATTTTGCTACCCATTTAAGTTGGCATATCTTTTCTTTTATGTAAAGAAAGTATAAATTCATAAACTTTGTTTTTACTAAATTTACACTCTTGTAAAAAAATTTGTCAAAAGTAAAAAGTGATTTTACTTATTCTTCATTCTTTAAAGACATAGATGACCTGAAAATAAAAGAAAACTACGAATTTACGAACTTTTTTCGAAATTCACACATTTTGTATACAATTTCGTAAAAAGTTTATGAATGCGTGTATGTTATTTTTATTTATTTTATTAACTTGGGAATTCTCAAATTTTTTACAGATTTACAAAGCATTCGAATTTAATCTGTTACGAAATTTTAGGTTCTTGATATAAATTGTAAATTCACAGTAAAAAAATTGTAAAAAAACTGTAAATCTCGTCAAAAATTGGTGAATTCACAATTTCGTGGAAAAAAGTGTGAATTCACAAAAAAACTGCGATCAAGTCTTCAGGAGTCGCTCGAGGACAAGGAAATTAAGATGAAAGTCAATGGAGTTTTGGATAAATAATATACGACGACACTGTTCTGATTACGGACAACATGGATGATCTGGAACAGATTCTTAATATTGTGGGAGACTAACCAGGATATCGGATTGAACGTGAAGACAAACAAAACTAAAATCATGGTTATCACGAGAGGGATAGATACATTTAAAAACTGATAATGGAAAATTCATAGAACGTGTGGAACTTGGCTTTATGAACAATGGTCTTCAGAAAAGGAAATTGAAAGTAGAATTGAAGAAGCTCGAGGCACATTTCTAAAATTCAAAAAAGTGTTCACTTGTAGTTTTCAGTTGAGATTTGTGGGCTGCTGGGTTTGGTCGGTGCTTCTGTAAGGTGTTTGAGAGGTGGATATACCGCAGAATTTTTAAGATACCATGGACAGCTAGAACGAGAATAGTATATTATTGGTTTTTGGGTACATTTTCGCAAAACAACATAAATGCATTTACTGACATGACCGTCAGAATTGACAAACGTCAAAATTCAAAGCGTGGGAAATATCTCCGAAAACATCCGATTGCTGCCAAACTCGTGCGGTAAAATCCCGGAAATGTCCGAAGTGGCTCGGATTCATGGGAACGAAACTGACGTGGTAAAGTGACGATTCCCGCACGCTAGATCGATGGGTAATTAGATATTTTGCAGATGGAAGTAGAAAAACGAATTTAACGTTGTAACAAAAAAGAAATACTGCACACCGGGGTCACATAATGTCCAATCATAAATATCAATTTCTGCACCTGATTATTAAGGACAAGATCGCGGGTAGAAGAGGACCAGGACGAAAGAGAATGTCATGATTGAGGAACATGAGACAGTGGACTGGCATACGTGACATTCAGATATTGGCTAGAGATAGACAAGCCATGGAAAATGTGGTGGCAAACATCTATTAATGGATAAGCAGAGGAAGAAGAAGTCGCTACACTTCTGTATTAGTTGGACCGGCTAAGATTGCGCACCCTCCGAACCGATCCATTTGGAACGAACCTACGGTGGCGAATGTTGCCCTCAATTTTTCCGAACGTCGGACAAGAAGGGAAGGGGGCAAACAAACAAACCACAACGATGACGGCGGACGCCGCGATAATCTTCGAAAGTGAAAGGTTCGCTCCCGTGACATTTCGGTTCCCTGTGTGTGTGTATGTGTGTGTGCACGTTAAAATTGGGAATTTGTCAATAAACGACCTTGGCGCGATAACTTTTTCGCGGCTTCGGCGTGCGGACATCGTCGGCGGCGGCGGGAACAGCGGCTCGACTCGCCGACCCGACTTCCCAAACTCGTCTTCAGTTCATCGCGGTGCGCTTGGTGGGTCGCGTGCGCGCGGTCGAAGAAACATTATCGTCCCGTGCGTACGTGTTGCTACGCTCGGGTGTCGCCGATAAGTTCGCTCGAAACGTTTCGTTTTTGGTTCTGTTTTAATTCGATTGTTGTTGACACACGCGGAGATTGTTTTCCGACGCCTGGATCCCCGTTGTCGATCGTAAGTCCGCCGGCTGATTGATTACGTGCTTGCGATAATCGCAACACGCGTGGAGGTCTAAAGGTTTTGTCCACATGCCCGCTAGAAATATATAATAATGTACACATGCCACGTGGCGCTCGACTAACGCAGATCTTCCAGCGGTGTTTGAAAAGTTGTGTTTGGTTGTTATACCCCAAACGACAGAGAAAGCGACGCGTATAGTAGAACCGGAGATCTATCAAACTCATTATTATTAACTTCCGATAGAACCCAGTCTGTTATCAAATGAAGGCAGGAACTGACATCATATAATTCTAAATGGTACTTCTTGTGCCACCGGATAGCTCAGATTGTGCATCACTATCACGCTTTTTGGTGTTATATTTTGCCAAATGGGCCAAAACGGTTAGTATAAATTATTGATAACTAACTATTGTTGTGCACTATCCAACCTTTGTTTGGAACATACTATGTCTCATCTAGGCAAACAATTTCCCGCCGATCTTGCCTATATCTGTAAAGGGAAATCAGGTATTTCATCGTCCACCTCTTAAACGAGTCGATTCATGTCAAAAGAAATAGAGTCTTACCACCCACAGTTTATTTTTATATAATTTTCCTTCAATTTATACAAGAAGGACTCTACAATGGAGATCGTATTCTCTACTTACTGGCCTACATGTGAAGGCTACTGCTTAGCTCGATAAGCCACTTTCAAGTAGGACGGTATACATGTCAAATATTACTTTTTACTGTCAGTTAATGTAGAGCCGCGTTTGAACTAGTTTTATCAATTATTTCGCTGACGAGATTATCACGACCCATAACTCTTATAGATAGCACGTATATAATTTTAATACAATATCCAAATTACTTTAGGAAAATTACGGAGGTAATTAGCAAATAAAGTCGATTGTCCAGATATATATATATATATATATATATATATATATATATATATATATATATATATATATATATATATATATATATATATATATATATATATATATATATATATATATATATATATATATATATATATATATATATATATATATATATATATATATATATATATATATATATATATATATATATATTGACACTATATTCCGGGATATCATCCGTTCGCTCGTTGAACTCCGACTGGAATCCTGCATCCGACTGGAATCCTGCAAATCCTGCATCCGACTGGAATCCTGCAGACGTTTCGCCAAAATCTCACTTGGCATCTTCAATGCTCGCGCTCCGAAAACACTTCGAACACTGGCTGTAAAGGTCTCCTTCCCGTAAAGGTGTATGATATTCTCACGTATTGATTCACGGATGGAAAAATGTGATGACACTATATTCCGGGATATCATCCGTTCGCTCGTTGAACTCCGACTGGAATCCTGCATCCGACTGGAATCCTGCAGACGTTTCGCCAAAATCTCACTTGGCATCTTCAATGCTCGCGCTCCGAAAACACTTCGAACACTTTCGGAGCGCGAGCATTGAAGATGCCAAGTGAGATTTTGGCGAAACGTCTGCAGGATTCCAGTTGGATGCAGGATTCCAGTCGGAATATAGTGTCATCACATTTTTCCATCCGTGAAACAATACGTGAGAATATATATATATATATATATATATATATATATATATATATATATATATATATATATATATATATATATATATATATATATATATATATATATATATATATATATAGTTTTTGTATTTGTCCGATTTTAACGAAAAATACGAACGTGCTTGGGCGGCAGTCTAAAAAAAAGCAGACGCGAGCTTATAATCAAGGAAAATAATAATAATAATATTTATTTCAGCAATTAGATAAAAAATGCGCATACCTTACTAATTATGGCTAATTATTAATAATTATTAAAGTAAATTAAATCACATTGTTAATTAAATTTAAATTTATTCACTTCCAAAATGTCATAGTGAACACTAAACAACCAGGAGTCAACAAGCCTCTTAATTTTTGTTATACTCCCTATTTTGCAAATACGTTGGAAGGGCGTTATATATTCTAGAGACTGCAAACAGAAGGCTCCTCTGCACTGAAGTAAATTTTACCATCGTACAAATCTGGTTTTAACTGAATGGTTGATTGTTTCCTTACGAATTTTGTTAAGACTTAATCGTCTGATGACTGTTTTAATGTAGATTTTGTTGACACTTAGTAGTTTCGCTTCAGTAAACAATTCTTTAGAAGGATATAGTTTGTTTTTGAATAATATTATTTTCAAAACACGCTTTTTTCTAATTTCTAGCGGTTAAAGAGCCTTATCTGCTGCAGCACCCCAAGCACATATATATCCTAATAACATATAAAAAAATATAAAAAATATATAAATATAAAAATATATAAAATATAAAAAAAATATGGAATAACTTACGAATCCATTTAAGGTTCTAATCAAGAACCATCCCTAAATATTTTAATTTCTTGGTGGAATTTATGTAAAGATCGCATTTACAATTCGTGTCATAGCCACAGTCAAAATAATGAATTTTTGTTCTTTGCAAGTCTACAGCACCAGCTTTCGTCATGGAATAATTAAATTAAGAGACAGCAGGTTATAATTTAGCCATTTTTTACCAGACATTAATTTCTCAGCCTTTGCGACATTTTCCTTCCAAGTGTTTTCAACGATAATCACTGCCTCGTCATCCGCATAGCAGACAGTACCTTCTTTCGGTAAAACAGAAAATATTCCATTTATATATAATGTAAACAAGATTGGCCCCACAACCGTGCCCTGTGGCACACCATACCCCACCGAAAGAGAGCAGCACTTAGTTTAAGCGTTTGCACTCTATCTTGTAGGTATGATTTGATTAGTTTTTTTACCATCCCTCTAATACCTAGTCTTAGTCTTCAAGTCTCTCAAAATCAAACACACACAAAGTCAAATCGAGAAAAACAGTAATACACTTTACTCTGTCATTAAAAGATCGGACTATGCCTCCAGCTACTTTGATCAACATATAAAGTGTCTACTTTTTTCCTAAAACCAAATTGTTGAATAAGGAATTTTTTCTAAAAATTGTTTTAATCTAATTGCAATACACTTAAGTCTTTAGCCACACTAGTGCAATTGGCCTATAATTCGACATCAGATCTCTCGAACCTGATTTATATATGTTCCATAAAAATGTCCGGGAAGACTCCCTTGGAGAATACCAGGTTAACTAAATATAGTAGCGGCGTAATAAAATATTTACATTTTTTATTAATATTTACTACTTCTATTATTGTCCGTATTTTTCTATAGATCGGCGGTCATACTATACGGATTTATTTCATTTAATCTAGAACAGATTATACCCAATAACTTCAATAATGATTATCTTTGGTAATTGAAATTATAATTGTAAAAGGCATTTATGTGGCACCTATGACAGATTGATATAAAAGAGAAACTGCAATCTATGATTGTATGACAGTGTTTGATACTTGTTTACTACAACTATACGATGTCAGCAAACCGTCGGATTCCGTTCGAAAACGATTAACAACCCGCACAATATCTTCGGGTAGCGGAAATATCACGATCATAAAGTACCGTACTCCACCGACGGTGACACGTTCGTAACTAAAGTAATTTGCAACTTCTGGTGCATAAAATTGAACGGTAATAGGGTGTGAAAGGATCACAGCAGCCTGCGTGATATTCCTAATATTCTAATAATGGAAGCGACTTAAATATTGGAGCGATCGTTCACACGCGAATCGCCTAACAGTACTTTCTCGCTCACTCGTTATTTAATTTAAATACAGGTTTCGATTCGTAATCTTTTACGCGTAAGAAGTGTCAGAAATTCTCGTGTTTAATATTCTCTTGTTTTTTTTTATCAAACCGAAGCATCATTTTACTCTCTGATTGTTAGGCGACCCGTCGTCCAGTACTCTGTCAATTTACTTTGCAAACCGTTATATATATAAAAATAATGCTTTTTACAGAACTTCTGGATTCCTCCTGCGTTGGTTTTTGCTGAGTAGAACTTGCTAACGTTTCGTTAATCACCCTGTTGGCTTCTTCAGAGCTTGACTGAAACTAGTTAGCATTTTACTCTGTACCTGCTTTTATATTGTTTGAGGAGGGCCGAGTTAAATGAGGGGCATAAACACCGTCTCGGGCAACTGATTCCCATATTGGTGACGGACAAAGATCTGAGCCGCGGTTAAGATTGTTGGGTTGCTTATAGATTTCTGTAGACTCTCGGATTTTTCGTTTGTAGAAGAATTGATTAGATGCAAGAATTTTTTACATGCATAAAATTTTGTTTACGGTTTCTTGATTGCGTTTGGCAACTGTTGATAAGTTTATTTGTCTTAGTCTTAAGGCTCTTTCATGTTCTTTGAGCCTAGTTGATATTTTTCGTCCGGTCTCTCCAATGTACTCTTTACCGCCTATGGAATGCTGTAAACTCCTGGCATCTCAAATGGAATTTTGTCTTTGACGAATCGAAGATGAGAGATTTTTGGACAAGTGGTAAATCTGGTTTTGACGTTATATTTCTTTAGAACTTTTTTGAATGTAATTGCTATTGGTTATAAGAAAAATATGTTCCAAACAAACATTTTTCAATTAAGGCGGGAAGGTTTGGTTCCAGATCCTATGATTTTAATATATCTGAACTGATGTTGAGAGTTTCAGGAATAGAAACTTTAGTAAAGGTATCTAATGTAAGGATTTTCAATTGCTCAATGAAGTCAATAATGGTGCTGATAATACGGTCGAAGGGGTAATCCTGGTTTACGAATCTTTGGGAGTCCGTAGGGATTAGGAATTCTAGATTCATGAGAGATGACAAATTTTTTCACGAAATCTGATAGAGAAGAAGCCTTAATAACAGATTTAAGGTTGTGTTTCATAGATCCGCCTGTAAGAATATCTTGAATCTTTTCCTGATATTCATTTGTCTTCATGACCACCATTTCCTTTACCTGTTTAGATCTGATTAGATTTTAAAGATTTTAGGAATTTGGCAATATTAGA